CAAATAGGACTAGTGACATATTTTGAGTTTGCAAATATTTGAATAATGATTTGGGTACTTCAAATAAAATCCCACCTTTATTAAGTTTGAAGGGTTTTACACTTAGTCAAAAACTCTCACAATTACAATTTCTCACCAAATAAAGTACAATTTCTAACTTCTATTTTGAAATTTTGAATATCAAAACTTTCACAAATTTTAATCAAGAAATAGTATTGTGTGCGCCCAAATATTTTGCAATATATTAAGCGTGTTTGCTTGTCTAATTCAATCTAACACATCAGTCAATTTCTACTTCAATTCAAGCTTGAAAATACTTTAGAATTATCCCGAACGAATTATATCCCGAACGAATTATATGCGAGTGAAGACAAAACTGACATATTAAAAGGTCAAAATTACAACATAAAATATTTTAAGGTATATGAGATGTGTGAATTTTGTAATAACTAAATGAGGGATTTAAATTTTCAACCAAGCATGACGAGACTTCGAAATTACAATCACACCAAACTATAGCATTGCCTTTATAACATGTGGTATGATTTTTCATAATTACTACAGCCCTGTTTGGTACAGCTTTTTTTTAGTTTATTTCAGCTTTCAACTTAATTTAAGCTATTTTAATGTGTTTGGTTTAGCTTAACAATGCAACTTATAGCTTTTTGTAAGTCAGAAATCAACTTATTCTTTAAGTGAGGCAGGAGAAACTTAATTTATAAGTCAGAAATCAGCTTATGTTCATAATTATAAGCTATAAGTTGTTAAGGCCTAAACTATAAGTACTTTCTCACAACTCTACCAAACAGGACCTACATGACATTTGAGTGAAATTTGCGTATTAATTACTCTTCCCAACACAACTTAACCTATTCAACCCCCTTTCAAAAAAGCATGGGACTCACAGATTGCTACATGAGATCAATTTTATGATAGCTTTTCATTTGTTTTCTCTTCTCTTTTTGTCTTTAATTTTTTTTCTTTCTTTCTCTCTTCCCTCCTTTCTCTGCTACCAAACATAGCATAGAATGAAAGATTAGTATATAAGAAGTGTTTGCCAAAATGCATGGTAGTATATTCCAAAATGCGACCCAAAAGTTAAAACCCAATCCGCTCCTAAACCTGATCTTTAGAGATTTGCAACACTATAATGCCAAAAATCAAAATTGAAAAAAGCATATTTATGTTCCATCACTTTTTGAACTTTGTTAGAACTTTTTGGGACATCAACTAGTAAATATTAACCCAAAGTCAAGGCGGTTAAGGGTATTATAAAAAACAAAAAACAAAAATGCAAATCAATTCTACAATTGAAAATTTCGGATTCAAAAAATCATTGATCCAAACCAACCAAATGTACACAAACCACTGGTTCAAAATGGCGAAAGTTTTTAAACAATTTGATACTTTTGAAGATGGATAGCTCCTGCGGCTGGTTAAAAAAATTTCACTACCAAGAACAATTTGATTGATAATTTTCCCCTAAAATTGACCCAACCCAATTTGCGCACGTCTCTACACACCATCATCGTCAACATCATCATCATCATCATTATGTGTTATCGATAAAATCAAATCATCATCGTCATTGTCATTATGTGTTATCGATAAAATCAAATCATGACTAGTATATGTCAATAAATAAATAATGACAAATATATGTTAACCAATGAATTATGAAATATTGAAAAGACAATAATAATTAGTGTGTTTGATTTTAATTTTTTAAATTCTGTATTTTGAAAATTAATTTTTTTATTTTTAGTGAATATTTTTAAAATTTAAAGTAATTTTTTACTTTTTATGATTGAAAATTTTCCCCTAAAATTGATCCAACCCAATCTGCGCACGTCTCCTCAACATCATCACCATCATCATCATATGTTATCGATAAAATCAAATCATGACTAGGACATGTCAATGAATAAATAATGACAAATATATGTCAACCAATGAATAATGAAATCTTGAAAAGACAACAACAATGTGTTTAGTTACAATTTTTTAAATTTAATTTTTTAAAAATTGAATTTTTTATTTTTTATGATTTTTGTTTTTAATGAATATTTTTAAAATTTTAAACAATTTTTTACTTTTTAGATGTATCTTATTTGGATGTATGTAAATAATAAAATATTTGTAAAATATTTTAAAAAATTAATAAATACATATAAACACAAAAAATATACTAAATTTTTTATTTATTTATATTTTTAGTATTTAGTGAATTTTTTTTAAAAAAATTTCACAAATATGATACTTTTTAAGTGTATTTATATTATGTGTGTCTAAAATTTTTTAAAATTACTTAAAATATTAAAAAAATTCAGTGAAAACAAAAATAAAAATACAAAAAATGAAAAAGTAAAATTTTCTTAAAAGTTAATTCTGAAAACCGAAAAGAGTGAATGATTTTGGAAAGATTAAGCACAATCAAGAAAGAAAAATAATTAAGAAAGCAATCAGAGAATATGGATGAATGGATATTGACAAATCAATCAAGAAAGAAAAATAATTAAGAAAGCAATCAGAGAATATGGATGAATGGATATTGACAAATCAAAGAAATTAGGCCACATTTGTGTTAGAAAACAATTTAAATGAAAATATCTTAACATCCTTTCTAAAGTGTAATCCATCTTACAAATGGAGAGAAATTGATAAATCAACCAAACAAAGAACAAAATTCATACAATCCTATCAAATGGGAGAAGAAAAATTCAATCAACGAAAGTCGAACCTAAGAATTCACAAACAAGAGCTCTAATACCATATTATAATTTCAATTGTTTGAAAAACTTAAGTAATTAAGAAATTGTCTAACAATACATATCAAATACTATCTTAACATTCAAAATACAATAATATACGATTTAACCATCATGGAAAGCACACAGAACTTGTATATTAACAAGCTAACATATGATGAAATTTTAGAGTAGAGAATGTTGGATGTTGGAAGAAAAGTGAATAAACGTGCATCATCAAAATAGCATTCAGTCCATTAGGGAGTGAAGTGAGATAGATGGAGACATTATGTTTTAATATATAAATACCGAAAAAAAAAAAAAAAAGAAAATTTTATACAAAATGATGTAAACTATATTAGAACTTATTATTTTAAAACAAAATACTCATTTAAATAGCATTTAATTATAGAAATTTCAATTCTATATAAAAGTTTTGTACAACTGAGTTCATTATCAAGTGGATAGATTGTAGTAGTGATGAGCATATGCCAGTTTGGTGCAATTTTTTTTAAGTTGAAAGTTGATGATTAGAAAGTAAAAATTAAAAATACCCCTGTCCTATCTTCTACATAATCAGCTTTTTTCAAATATTTCTCTCCAACAACCTTATAAGCAGTTAAACTAAAAAAAATGACACAAACCCTCCAAATAAAATAAAAAAATTATAAAGAACTCCTACAAACTATACCAAGCAATCCAATTATCAAGTGGATAGATTGTAATAGTGATGAACATGTCTTGCCTCACTTCATATATCAGCATGTGAATGCTATTTAAAATTTAAAAGGATGGGGGGGGCATATGGTGGTAGAGGTAGTGTTTATCCAATCATCTGTCATGTTACCAGGCTGGCTTTCCGGCTCTCTGATTGGTGACAGCTCTCTACCATGAGAAGTAGATATATATCTTCACATGACTTGTGGGACACTTGTCTCACAACCCAATCCCTTTTCACCAAAAACACATTTGGATGAGTCTCTACTTAGGCAAATAAATTTATCCTATATCTCTCTATTTTTCTCTCCAAACTCTCCTCAATGATGTGGTAAACAATTTTAAAATGAGAGAGAAGAGTTTGCAAAGAGTTGATTAGTTGGTATTGTTTGCCACATCATTGGGGGAGTGTAGGGGGAGGAATTGGGGGATGTAACATTTCTCTTTTATCTTATTCATACGGGACAAAATGCATGAACAAAATACACTATTTGAGTCTAATGGAACTTATTTAAAATAGGGAATCTAGCTAGCTTACGTAATTAAATAGTGTGTTTTATTCATACACCTAAATAAAATTGGAATTCAAAATAAGTGTATTACTAGAAAATACATATCATAAAAGTAAGACAAGTGATCCTCTAAGCTCCACCAGACACGGATTAGTGGAAGCCCTTTCAATCCCCTCATCTTGCTTTTTTGTTTCTTTTGTCAATCAGAAATATATATTTTACAAATATTACCTGATCCTCTCCATTACATTAGTATAATACATCATTTAATGTAAAAAAATCCTTCTTAATTTAAAATAAAAATAAATTCATATGACTATTCTTCTGCTGTTTTGAGGTGATAGAAATTATAAAACAAACCAAACTTCAAGGTCAACTCGTCAACTGTCTAGGTGGACAAGTCAAGTTCAACATCTTTTAAAACTCGTTAAGTGTTTAAACTAAATTTAAACAATTTACTACTTGATTGGATAAGCTTATATGCACTATAAAAAAATATGCTAATCAAACTCGGTTTGATTCATTTAAAATTGGCACGAAAGATAAACAAGTTAGGGCTGGAAACATTTTGAAGACCGTTAAGTTTTCAAGCTTAACTTGAACAATCATTACTTGATTCGACTCGACTCATTAACATCCCTAGTCCGGGAGGGCTAGGCTTCGGCTGCTGAAAAAGTGCCCCTGGTTAAGCCTGTCATGTTGAGTTGAAAAACTACATTTAATGCCTACTGTCAAACCCTAAAAACATACCTACTGAAGTTCCCACTTTAATAGGGCACAACAACTCACAAATTTATGGTTCCAGCCATTCCCTCAAAAAAATTTACGGTCCATTACAACCTCAACAAAGAAGACACTTTGAACATTTAAAATCTTTGACAAGTTGTCTTACATAGGCAACATTTTCCATTTTTAGTGTCATAGAACAGGTCAATGTCACAGCATCAAAGTAATGTTTCAGTTTCAAACCTATCCTTGGCTGGTGTGTCCAAATTATAGGAAGATAACAAAAGCCATGTTAATATACAAATAAATGTGCGGCCCACATCAAAAAATTGTAAATGCCAACAGTTCATGAAAGGACATTAAAAAATTCTCATACGATGAAAGACGAATTTGTTAAACAACGTCTTATGACTCAATCAAATATGGTTTTTGAGCAGTGATCTTATGGTCTAACATGTCGATTACTGTAGAACATGAAAAGCAAAGGATGAAGAACAAAACAAAACTAACAAAGGGATCGGAAAGAAGAATCCAAAACACACAAGAAACAAAAGCAACAGAAAAAAGACAGAAAATAATGTGCGCCAAAAAACTTGCCTGAAACCATTGCCAATAGCCCTCTTCTTGGTCTTGATATGTCTGCGAATGTCCTGCCGGTGGCATTCCCTTTCATAAGGCTGTTTCAACCCTCACAATGTGACAAATCTGGTCTTAGTAATGATTTCAAGGAATGATTGAAGCAGTTGTGAGGAAGTGCCTGTGATGAGAACACTTCCCATGGCAGCTTAGACTTGTCCTGAACCATGTCTAAAGCAACAGCCCAAATCTTTCCAGGATACTGCAGTTGAACAGATGCTTCATATAGATTCCTGTTTGAAAAATGGAGCACAGAAAGAAACAATTAGGTCACTATAATTCTAATATTTCAAATGCAAGTGAAGCCTGTATTTTTCAACTTTCACTTTACATCACTAATGGAATAGGTATGGAGAGACACAAGGCATCAGCATGCTTTAGTAAAGCATAACCTTAAACCTACAAGATTAGAGTCTCCCAAGTAACATCCAACCTTGCTCATTATCCATTCTGATTGTGTATGCCAAACCTGTAGTTTTACAATTTGCTCCAAGTACATTGATATAAACTAAATAATAAGGTGGTCTCAAGGATCTATCTATTGATATTTCAATGTAACAACAAACTAATTCTGAAGCAGTGTTACCAAAAAGCGCTAATACCCTAGAGAATTATATATTGGAAAGCGCATTCTAAAACATGGTACACTTCCGTTCCACAATGGTAAATTTAGTGATCAAAAGCTATCTCAATTTTTTTTCAATATATTTCCTAAAGGTTACTTGGAAGTAAATATATATATATATATATAACGAACTAAAATCTAAAGTGAGCGAGACAAATGAGGTATGAAGAACCATGATGAAGAGAGGGCTCCAAGTGAACCATGGTGCTGCCGAGCGAGTGAGCCTGGCTCTGCTGTGTGAACCATGTAAGGCCCTTCACAATTTGAATCATTTTTGCCTTAGAGCTCTTATGTCTAGGGTGGCGGTCACACTAGTGAGCTCCGTACTTGGTGTGTATGCCCCCACTTAGGCTACGTATACAACCCCAACTAGGTGTGGTGCCTCAGAGGTTAGCCACGTGGGGGTGTCATGGTGATGGCATGGTGCCCATAGGGCTCGCCACATGCCAAGCATGGTACAAGTACTGTAATGACCCCAAAACATGTGTCATATTTATCAATAATTAAATATGTGTTTATGCGGCGGTCACACTAGTGAGCTCCGTACTTGGTGTGTATGCCCCCACTTAGGCTACGTATACAACCCCAACTAGGTGTGGTGCCTCAGAGGTTAGCCACGTGGGGGTGTCATGGTGATGGCATGGTGCCCATAGGGCTCGGGGCGAGTTTGGGGCTTGACAAGTACCCACAATATACAACTCAAAAACTTGAACTCTGCTACATCACCATCAATCCAAGTATGCAAAACTACCATCCAAGAAGCATCGACACTTCTAAGAAGGTGCGTATCCGTGTCATGTCACCGACACTCAGCAGACACTTCCTGACATTTGTCAGACACACGTCCAAATGTATCATATTATTTTCTTAAAAGTTTTTTTAGACCTAAACATGCTTCGAACACTTAGGGGGACATATGTGTCCATCACTTAGGCATACATGAAAGATAGTACAACTATGAATAAAATAACTTACAGGACACAACCATTAAAGGAAAAATGATATAAATTTATACCTATTAATCTCTACACCTTTAAATTTTATGAATTAGTGTTATATTATATTTTTTTATTTTATTTTTCAATGAAATATTAATATATATGACGTATAATAAATATGTAAAAGCTCATAACTTGTGCGTCCCCACGTGACGTTTCTTCCATTTTTTGAAAATTTACATGTTAGTGTGTCCATGCTTCTTAGACTACCATCCAGTTGAGTGAATATAGAACGAGTATGAGGACATGAGAGGATAAGGAACACATACCTTGACGCTATGGCATTCTCCAACTCAGGAACCAGCCATTTAGAGGTCCTATTGTGAGCTGTATGACAAACAGCTCCGGATGAGATTTATGTCTTATCGATTGAACAGATTACATTTTCAGTTTACAATTGCTACCTGGTGAGACTGAACACTCTAATTCTCTTCATCCTCTTAACAGCAGTTCACCATTCCCCAACAGCACCACAATGTTAACCCATTAACATCTTTATCCTGCATATTTTTACCCATTAAACTAAGATAAAAACAATGCATATTATAACTTCAATTTTAGAACAATATGGTTAATAGAATAGTTCATCAATTTAGTGTATTTACAAGTAGTGTGCATTAACTAAAGGATTCATTCTGATAAGAACAAACAATCGAGGAATCGCTATCAGAGAACAAACAATAAATGCAGGCCCACCTTTAAACTTTTAGAAATTCATTATCTTAGATTTATAAAAATAAAAAAACATAGAAAGAATTAGGATCCTCAATATGGTATGTGAACTGGTGCAGATCCACCATTAAGAGTTGTTGGGAATCGACAAGGCATCAGATGAAGCATAAATTGATGAATAGGATCATAGGGGAAGACCCAGTGGTAGGGCCTTCTCACGTCTCCAACTCATAGCCAGGTTCCAATCCCAGCCACACCACCTTCCCCTTAAAAATCATACTGATGTTCTTATTATTTAAAAAAAAAATACGAATAAGAATTTGTTAATTTATTTAAATTTTTATTCATGATAATTTAATTTTATTTAGGAATTTCAGATATATTAGGAATTTGTTTCTATTTCCTTATCAAACTGCCTATCTACATAAATGATCGAATTGAGAAGGCATCAGATGAAGTATAAATTGAAGGTTAGGAGTATCTTTAGGAATTTTAATTTATTCAAAATTTTATTTATAAGTTTAATTTTAAGGAATCTAATGTTTATCACATAAGCTAGCACTTCCATCTTGACAAATGACTTCAATATAAAAACGTTGAATGTTTTTACACAAGAATTAGAAAATGTTAATGAATCATAACGAGAAGAAGCTGCATAAGAAAAAGGAAAGAGAAAAAAATAGGGAAACGTGATTTTAAAAAAAACTACACCAAATTTTGTCCCAATTTGATGAGGTCTGGGAGGGGTAAATTGGGTACAAACCTAACATTTTGCGTAATTTGCACAAAGTGGGCGTAATTTGCACAAAGTGGTTGCCCTCAGGCTCGAACCCACAACTTCAAGGTTAGTGGGCCAAGTTTTAACCACTGAACCAGTGGCCCCTTGCAAAAGAAGTTAGAAAAGGTAAACTTTATATAGAGTAAAACTTGACACTCACTTGAGACTGGATGACTCTTCATAAACATCTGCCTCCAAACTCGTTACAGAAGTAGCACAAGTTTCCAAATTTTAAGGTTCCATAATTTTGATTATGTGAGTAATCCCTCATGCAGATTGCTTCCCTTGGACATGACCTGCAATGTTGTACCTTTAGTAATCCAGGCAGTCAGTTCTGGATGGTGTTCAAAAGGTCTAAGAGATTGCAGACTTCCATCTGCCATTTGCAAACCATAAACAAATGGGAGTCTAAGGGAAAGGAAACTCTCTGGTGGTAAAATCACTGGACATCCAAAGCTGAACTCCAACTTTTGTTCACGGTCCAAAACAGATGGCGGTAGGCATGATGTCTGCAAGCAATGAAAAGAAAATGATTTTCAAAGAATACAAACCAAGAACAGTGAGCTAAAAACAATAGCACAAAATTTGTGCCGATATGTAAACATTGCATTGCCAAAACAGCAACAATGGGCAAGTGAAAGTAATGAATTCCTTGATAAAAAGAGAATATCCTATCTTCACGGCTGGTCCACTAGAAACTTGCTATAGGCAATAGTGAATTCCTTCAACTTGTGAAATAAGAGACTATAGTTGATTTTACATTTGTCATAGAAAGAACCATTAGGTTTTCCTTTTCTTGTTTAATTTGGCCCTTGACAAAAAGGAATGTCAAAACAGAATTCATATAGACCACCCTAATAGTGGGACAAGGCTTAGGTGAGTTCAGTTAACTTCGTTAATTTATTGGGCAAAGGCAAATGCATTAGTTGTACATGGGAATTCAAGCAGACGAACTGAGACGCACCTCAAATTGTATGACTGGGCATGTGACTAAAATGACTGGAAAAGGAGGTGTGACCTACAAAGCAGAATGCACAAATAAGTACAAGATGAAACTGTTAATTGTTAAAAGAACAAACTGTCACATTAACAATAAAAGAAATCAACAAATCAGAATCTTCATACAACTGAAATTATGTCAACAGGCTACATTCAAATGAGTTCAAAGAGTTTTATGCAATGCAACAAAAAGGCCCATTTTAAGAATTCATACCAAAAAGATCCTCTGTAGCTGTGATATTGTTCCAGCAAATTTAGTCGTAGGGCGATCCTTCTTTTTCTTAGAGGTCCTGCAGTGCGGACAGTTCATGTATATCGGTAAATTTCTATTCAATAAGGAGAAAGCACCATCATTAAGACCAACAGCATAAAGGCTCTCTGCAAGATCTTTGACGGAATTCTGTTCATTTCCTGCCCCAGAGAACTGCGCCACCTCATCTAAGTAATGATTACTATTAGCTGCTATCTCTTTGGTCTTGTCCAGATTTCTCACCTTACGAACAGCACTAGTATTCATCCCATTTGAGTTTCGATGAGCTTTACCATGGCCACCATTCTTACTCAATTTTGAAGGATTTGCCATTTTGTTGTCTGAATTTTCCGCAGATGAGGGGATATGAGATTCTTCAGACAAGGAATATGAGGAACCAAGTTCCTTGAGATGCTCTGGTGTCAATATAAACCGGTGGCCATTGGGGCACTCATGCTCAAATCCGACATATACGATTACATTCTTCAAAGAATCGTTTAATTTGACCTTTTCACCAGTATTCATGTTCACTGGAACAACATTGCTACCTATCTGTAAAATTGGATTGCCATCTGCATACCCATTAACACCTATTCCATTTCCATTTACAGTGTCCTGAACAGCAGTGATGTCTTCAGATTTTTTAGATTGTTGATAATCAGCAGTATGATTGACCCGTTCTTCATCTCCGTCTCTTGCAGAGCTTTGCTTCATACCTTTTTCCGAACCTACTGAAGGTAGTTTCCTTGACTGCAAAGGAGGGAATCCGGAAACAGCTGCTGCTGATCCAGCAACAACCTCAGAAAATGGTTTTCTCATTGTAAAATTAGGAATGCCTCTACCAAAGTTGATCTTTTTCTCATCAGAAGGGTTGTTTTGCGAGGGAGGCTCCTTTTGAATTTCATTTCCACTCTGCGATTCTTTTATGTTCATTTGAGAAGCACCAGATTTCTTTATATCTCCTCCAGCAATAAACTCATTCAGTAGTTTTGTACTTACAGAACCTTGCTGCGGATCACTAGCTAATGAACAATTTTGGCGTTTAGGTTTCTCAAGAAAAATTGTCCACTTCAAAAGAAACTTCTGAGTGGCACAGAACCCACTCTGAAGTAATCCTTTAGAAGGCTCATAGTACGTTGCACCACCAACTCGAATCAAACTCCATGACAACGACTGAATTGGTCCTGCATTCTTTACCTGCGGCAATTGGAGTGCAGGAAGAAGGTTGTCGCAGTCCGCAAAACAATTGGAAGTAATATTAGCTGTTTCAAAATCAAAAGGATCAGATCGCAATCGCCGTGAACGGCCACAAGCACAAGATTGAAGGAAAACAAATCCGCTTGAATGTGGCTTGACCCCATCGCTTGAAAGCAAACCATCAGTTTTAACATCATGCCTCTGGTGCATACATGGTTTTCCCGTCAAACTGACTGCATCACAGAGTTGCCTTCCAGAACTCCAAATGGATGTGCATTCATCCTCTAATTTTTTCATGAAATTTTGCACTGCAGGTCCCTTGACCATTGAGCAGAAAGCACACAAGGCCTTCTCCAACTGCTCTTCATGCTTTGAAGTAGGATAACAAGCGGGTAAGTCATTTAAATAAACCTCCTTAGCAGCAGGAAGGGCTCTTTGGCACCACAAAGTAGAAAATTTAGTGTTAAGTCCTTTACCATTCTCCAAACAAGAGACAGCAATTTCTAGAGGATCTGCAACTCTTGGAACAATTCCTTCAACTGCAGGTGCAACAGTGTTTTTTTGACATGGGTTTCTTTTACTGTTTTCAGGTTCAATTATATACCCACGTTTTGCAGAAAGAATCCCACATAAAATAAGTTGACTAGAAGATAACCAAATGTCCATACTGGGAAGTTCAGGAGTGGTAATAGTCTTTCCAGATGCAGCTGATGCAGCAGCAGCGGCTGCAGCAACAGCCACCATACCAACACCAGCAGCTGAGCCACTGTTGGTGTTAGTGACCAATCCCCCTCTTCCTCTTAAAATATCAGCCTGCCTGTAAATGAACTCTTTAACAGATAGAATATCCTCTTTGGTTGCACTCTGACTATGGCTTTCAAGCAAAAGGGAATCTGAGGTTGCTTTTCCACTCAAGACACTTTCCACAAGGCCAGTGGCAAAATCAAGAGATTCACCTCTCTGATTTGAAGATCTATCGCACAATGCAACTGCTTTGGATGCATCAAGCGAAAACAGAGGTGCTGAATTTGAGATAGCCCCACTTCTTGAACCAGCATGACTAGTTTCAGAACTTGTGAGTGTCCGACATTTCTTAATTGAAAAACGGATCTGTGCTTCAAGAGATGACTGCAATTTCTTCTTGAATCCACCTTCAGATTTACTCACAGGGCGTGCTAGCACAACAACTGGTCCTGATCCTTTCATAGGCAAGCTTGGCCTAGCTAAACTGCTCAAACTTGAAGACTGATTCAATGAGGACGTGTCAATTGACTCCTCAGTATTAGAACCAGAATTAACATCTGAGAAATCATCAAGAAAAACAAAAAGTATGACTGGAGTACACTGTCCTGGAAACAAAGAGGTGTATGAACCTAAACCCGACATAAATGATATTGCTGAAGCATTGCGACTCAAGATACCACTGTTTCTACCCGGAGAATGATTGTTAGACATTGTTCCCAATACAGAGGTTCGTGATGATGAAGATGAATGATGAGATCTAGATGTGGACGAAGGTGTCGTTTGAGATCTTGCGAATGGAGCCATTGCATGTTTGGCAGCTTGTAAAATTCGAAATTTCTTCAAGATCTGGGTATCGAAGCGTGACCCCTCTTGAATAAATATGACTACGTGGCAAACCTGCATAGCTAAATGCAAATTTAGTCACTTAATTAAGTGTGAAAAGTATGTAGACTTTTCATCAAGAATGCATCTCCTATATGCTGTACTAAAATCCAAAAGAAAACACTTCAGTTTAGTAAGTTGCCGTAACTACATTCTTTATCAACGTACTTACCCATATAAAAACTAACTACTTTCAAAAAAGTCAAAATCTAAGCAACTAAAACAAGAAGTTGATGAACAGTCTTAGTTCTCACTTTCATATTTACTACCAGCAAGTCTAATGCTATGTTTGCATCTAAGATTAGTTGAGGTGAAGGTTCCAGAAAAAAAAACAAATTACTTGAGTAATTTTTTATGGGTAAACAAAACCAAACCTCCTTTATTTATCCAAAAAAAAAACAAAAAAACAAAAAAACAAAAAAACAAAAAACTCCAATAAAATTGAATCTTTTGTGAAATGCACATTCATTTTCTTAGCTTAACCAAACAAAAACAAAGATTTTGGCTTCTCTCTCCTTTGTACATCATTCTAAGCTAGCTGAATCAGCTGGGGGACATACTTGGACACCCCTTAGAAAAGTGAATTGGTCCTTTGTCAATAAAATCTAACATTGTTTCCTTCTTTCTTTGCCTAATAAAATTGATCCCAAGAAAGAGCATTGCTGGAATGACAAATGCCAATTCTCAAAGTTCAACATGTAACGATGGGTTTTGGAGACTAGTCACATACAACCAACGTGCACACTGAAGTTGTGAATTATTACCTTATGCAAATTGCCCATAAGCAAAGTTCAACTTTTACCTATTGAGAAACTTATTCCAAACATTAAAATATAACCAAGCATTTATACTTTGCCCAACCTCACATTCTTGAAAATAAAGTCCATATATTTTCAAATGGTTTTGATATTACTCTATTGCACCAAATTTAACGTGGTTAGGCTACAACTAAATGTGTGTGTGTTGCATTCCCATACCTTGTTTGAATTAAGGACAAAATAGAAATTCAGTTCAAATGACATCCAACACCAACAACATTGAAACAAATGAATTTAGGATAACTAAGAAAAAAAAGAAAAAAAAAAGCTTACAGAGAACATAAAAAGCATTCCTTGAAGATCCCCGAATTCGCGCTCTTCCAGTAACGAATCAAAACCAGAAGAAGAAGAAGAAGAAAAATCTGAAAAGTCCTCCACCGCAGGACACCGAGTTGAAGAAAATTGCAGATAAAGAATCCCCTTTTCGTCCTCATGGAAGTAACTAATTCCTCGACAATCAAACCATTGCTTCACCTCCTCCCCAATACCCACTTTCTCAAAACACAGATTCTTGTCAAAATTACCCGAACCAAACACATTGGCGTCGAGAATTCGGTTGATTAGCTGAGTCACGTCACCGCGCCGCCTTCCGATGAAGCCCACCACAACGACGCCGTTCTGTGGCGGCGGAGAGGAGGAAGACGGCGGAATAGGGGGAGTGAGAGTGGCTGTGGAAGTGGGTTGCGGCGGCGTTGGATTTGGGGGGCGAGCTAGGACTCGCATAGGGGAGGAGGATGACGGGTTTGGTGAATCCATGAAATTGGAAGAGGTGGGTTTGACTCTCAAGTGGGTATTTATATGGGTTGGAATTGAATCAATTGTTCCATTCCATGGATGATCGATTAGAGGTTTTTAGAGAGAAAAAGTTGAGGACACAGCGGGGGGCTGGCTTCGGTTTTTTTTTTTTCCCACAAAGGACCAAAACCCCCTTTGGCGATGTGTTACTACAGATTCACACAATTTCTCACTTTTCATTAATAGTATGTCACCGTGCTATATGAATGGGATTAAATTCAAAAAAATTATTTATGATTATGTCAAATATATTTTTAAATTATTAGCATAAAATATACGTAATTTTAAAAAAAATGTTGACATTGTATAATTAAATAATAAAAATAATAATTTATTATATTTGTTTAGAATTTACTGAATAAATAAAATAAAGTATAACTAAAATTTAAATTGTTGTGGATCTTCCATCAGCATTTCTACATTGTCAATATGATAGTTAATATTATAACTGATAAACAACACGTATATTATGTATTTATAAAATGTTATACTTACATATTTTTTTTTTACCTTCTAAAAGGTGTAGACATTTTTCAGACTAATCTATCCTTAAATGTGGGATCATCATGATCCGTTTAGCGTGAAATAAGTAATTTTCTTTTTCGAAATAGTTGATTGATTTTAGCGGTAATTGTATTATGTTCCATCCTGTAAAAAAAGTTTTTGTAACAAATCTGAAATATAATAAACTATAAAGTAGAAAATAAAAACACACAAATATCTGTATTGGTACCCATCTATTACTTGACTAAATAAGTTTTTAAAAAACACAGAGATTGTCATAATTCACACAATTTTTTTTTCTCATTATGTGATCGAAATGGAGTGTCCAAAAACTCAATCACAAATTATGTAAATTGATAGTTAAAAATTACAATCATGTTTTTGTTTAGAAAACATAATTAATTAAAGACTCAATTACAATTTTCTACAAGACAACATATAATTTAATCATCAAAAAAACATATAAATTGTTACAACCAAAACAAAGCTACGAAGTCAATTGGTAATTAAAAAATACAATTATATTTTTTTTTAAAAATATAGTGAGTTAAAAATTCAATGTCAAATTAAGTTAATTAATAGTTAAAAAGCACAATAACAAAAAAATTCAAAAAATACTATGCGTTAAAAAATCCAATCTAATCATCATCATCAAGAGTAGGTACTTTATGTGAACCTAATTAATACAAACCAATCACAATCACAAAATACAATCTAATCATCATTAATAGTGAATATTTTATGTGAACCTAACAATACAATCTTTTTTTTTTTTTCAAAAAACATAAATTAAAAATACAATCACCGTGTGATTGTATTAAAAAAAAACATGAATACAATCTTTTATTTTTTCAAAAAACACAGATTAGATGAAGTGTAGAAAAACACAATCATTAAAAAAAATCAGTTAATTAAAAAAAAAGTAATGAAGTCAATTAATAATTAAAAAATACAAATTTTTTTTTTTTTCAAAAAGCATAGTGAGTTAAAAACCCAATCGAAAATTAAGCTAATTAATAGTTGAAAAGCACAACCATTTAAAAATAAAAATAAAAATAAAAATACAGTGAGTTAAAAAATCTAATTACAAAATATAATCTGACGTGTATAAGCCCATAAAGGCCACGAATCACTATGAACAATCCAAGCCCATCACTTGGAGCCCAATGCATAACCCAGCTGGTGAGGTCCAGGACAACTGGAGTCCAACATGGCATAAAGAGCCAATGACATTCAGACACACGGTAGGTGAAGGACGAGCCACATCAGCAGACAAAGATCTGCAAAGTTATTGCCACTGCACATCACTATTAATGCAACCCATCACAGCATTTATTACGACAACACCTCTCCGTCGGAACAGGACCCCCTTACCTTGAACAAGGTAAGCTACAGCATAGACTTTCGGCGAGGAGGGATTATCAAAGGATATAAGCAAACGTTGAAGACAAGAAGAAGGTTAAGTTTTCCTATCTCTAATCTCTCCTTCTACACTCTACTTCTCTTCCTAACTTGCTCGTCGGAGGGTTCACTAGGGGACTACCCCGTTCCCCGTTGAACTTGTTTGCAAGTTATCCGGTGGGCTTGATCATTTGGACCTAGGCTTGAGGAGCTTGGACCAGTCCGACCCATTCATTGGGACAAACTGTATCATCAGTTGGCGCCGTTTGTGGGAATTGGTTCTTATCCGAACGCCAGTTGTGCTCATTGTCGCCGGAGACCCTGTCCTAACAACTTTGTCCTCCTACCCATCCAAGTGTATGGTCATGACTAGATCCATGGCTTCTCACCATAATGTTGCTGACCATCAAACCGACCCTCCCAATCCAAACAACCCACCACAGTACATCATTGAGCTTACCAACAGCATTAACCACATGGCCGAACAAAACCAGGCCCTGATAAATGCTTTACTCCAAAGAAACCTTCCGATGCCTCCTCCACCACCTCCAGATATATCACCTAACCAAGAAAGAGCCCCGAGCCATACTGTTCCGCAACCCTATCCACCCAACTTGGAAGGTTTGCAACCTCCCACCCTGTATGTAAATCAACCACCTCCATCCCCACACCCTTCGGTCGTGGCACCAGCCCCTGAAGGGGAAGCCAGCAGCGTCCAGCCCCCATTGACTGACCATGGTGACCACATTCCCCTCTGGGACGCTGAACTCTGAGCAATGAAGCTCCAGCTCCAAGGGGTCATGCAGAACATTCAGTATAAACCCTCTACCACGGCAAGCTCACCATTTGTTGCCTCTATCCGGGACAAACCTCTGCCCGCCAAGTTCAAGATGCCCACCATTGACTCTTTTGACGGTACTACGGACCCAGTCGACCATCTGGAGACCTACTGTACCCTCATGATCCTCCACGCCTTCCCTGATGAGATCATGTGTCGGGCTTTTCCCGTGACACTGAAGGGGTCAGCTCGATTGTGGTTCAGTCAGTTACCAGCAGACTTTGTCTCCACTTTCCAGCATCTTAGCGACTCCTTCCTTAGCCATTTCATTGGAGCCCAGCGCCAACGCCGCCCTACAACCCAACTCCTCAACATCCGTCAGATCGAAGGGGAGTCGCTGCGCAATTTCGTTACCCGCTTCAACACCGAAGCCCTGCAGGTAGCGGAAAACGATGACAAGGTCATCCTCACGGCTTTCATGGCCGGGCTACGATCGTCCGATTTCCTTTTCTCCCTCTCCAAAAACCCCCCGACCTCCATGGCCACCCTACTCTCCAAAGCCCAGAAATACATAAATGCCGAAGATTCACTAGCCGCTCGGCAGGATCCAATATCTAAAAACCCGGCCCCCAGAGAAAAGAGAAAAAACTCAGAACCCAGAAACACCCAGTATAACAGCCAAACACCCCACTATACCGACCGACCTCTTCGCATTGACCGGTCGGCACCAGCCCGACCGCCCGGTCGGTTCAAGCGGTACACGCCCCTTAATTCTCCCATGGAACAAGTCCCTCACCAGATCCAACGGGACTACCCCCTCAAATGGCCCCTACCCTTACGGACCCCTTCCAACCGGAAAGACCAGTCCAAATATTATCGTTTCCACCAGGACCATGGCCATAACACTGATGACTGCATCAACCTTAAGGATCAGGCCGAGACCCTCATTCGTCAAGGGTGTCTCAGCCGATTCACGGACACTCGCGCCACAGCAGAGGCAAAGAACCGAGCCCCTCAGAAATAACCGCCGGCGTACCCCACCCCGGCAGCCAGCCTAACCTAACCAAGGCCATGATCGCTCCCCACAACAGCCTCAGCCGCTAGGCAATCCCCCTCCGCCAGTTGGTGAAATCCGAGTCATTTCAGGTGGCCTTGCTTGTGGCGGACCATCCCGTTCTGGTCAGAGGGCAGAACTCAGGAAAATAAGGCAAGGCTCGGACAGAGAATTACCACGGTAGATCGACCCTCCAAATAGCCCAAGCAATGGACAGAGCCCATCACCTTCACGGACGCTGACTGTACAAGCATCCATTATCCTCATGATGACCCTCTTGTCATTTCTGCCCTCCTCTCCAACTATAAGGTCAGACGGGTCCTCATCGACAACGGCAGTTCTTCAGACATCATATTCCTCAACTGTTTCCGCCAGCTCAAGATCGGGGAGGAAAGCCTGCCTCCCCTCCAAACCCCTTTGGTCAGTTTCACTAGCGACCGGGTAACCTCCATCGGCTCCATCGATCTCCCTCTCACCATCGACGAATACCCACGGCAGACTACTAAGTTGGTCACTTTCCTTGTGGTTGACTGTTCCTCTGCCTACAACATCATCCTTGGCCGCACCGCCCTCAACGTTTTCCAAGCTATCACTTCAACCTACCACCTCACCATAAAGTTCCCTACCGACCTGGGCGTCGGGACAGTTAGGGGAGAGCAGACTGTAGCTAGGGAATGTTATGTCGCCTCACTCAAGGAAGTCAAGCTGGAAGAGGCCATGATCATTGAAGGACTTGATGTCCGAGATGAGGATGAGCTGGTTAGAGGAGAACTGATTGAGGAGCTCGTTGAGGTTCCCATCGACCCCACCAACCCTATGAAGATTGCCAAGATCGGCAGCCAACTATCCCCCCAAGCTAAGGCCGACCTTACCGCCCTTCTGATCGAGCACAATGATGTATTTGCCTGGACCCATTCAGACATGCCGGGTATCGACCCCTCTTTCATAACTCATCGCCTCAACATCGAACCCCATTTCCGACCTTACCGTCAGAAGCAGCGCATCTTCCATCCAGAGCGCAATACACTTATAGCCGCAGAGGTTGACAAGCTCCTTGAGGCCCAATTCATCAAAAACGTGGATTACCCTATATGGTTGTCAAACGTGGTCCTAGTCCGCAAGAACAATGGCAAATGGCAGCTCTGTGTCGATTACTCTGACCTAAACCGAGCTTGTCCCAAATCCTCTTCCCCGCCGCAGAGGTTGACAAGCGTCTTGAGGCCCAATTCATCAAAAACGTGGATTACCCTAAATGGTTGTCAAACGTGGTCCTAGTCCGCAAGAACAATGGCAAATGGCGGCTCTGTGTCGATTACTCTGACCTAAACCGAGCTTGTCCCAAAGATAGCTATCCTCTTCCCCGTATAGATCTGCTGGTCGACACCACGACCGGTCATCAAATGCTCAGCTTCATGGATACTCTC